AGAGAGAGAGAGAGAGAGGAAGAGAGGTACGTAAGTAATTACTACTAGTAGTTAAGTAGTAAGAACGTAAAGACGAACGAAGAAAGTTACACAACTAGAGAGAGAGAGAGAGAGAGAGAGAGAGGAAATTATCACTTTAAAGAGAAGAGAGAGAATCCATCCAGCTTGAGCTCCTCAAGTCTAATATTCCTGATTAATAAGAACTAAGCATTATGTCACTTTAGAGAGAGAGAGAGAGATGGGACAGCTTGAGCTCCTATCAGTTGTGGAAGAATAGGTGTCCTCATCCCTTTGATTCTTTGGAAGCCATCCAATTATGTCTCTCTTAAAAGTTGCTTGAAAATGGTTTGGCCATGCTAAGATAGAATCATTCTTGGTCAAGGCACTTCTTTATTTATGGGAAAAGTGAGGTTACACAGATGCATTTAAAGTAAGGCCCCTTCTTAATCAAGCTTCACTCAACATCTTTGAGAGATGACTCATATTCTCTCCCAATAATTGGAAAGTACTCCCACAGTAACAAGATTGATGATGTATCCTCAGGGACAACAATAATTGGGAAGAGAGAGAGAGAGAGAGGTTGGGACCAGATGCACCACAGCAGTTAATCTAGACAGACAGAGAGGGTTTTTGAGACTAGAACTCTATAGCACTAAGGGCATGGCATGTTTGATATGTGGGAGTATTCGAAAGTGAGAGTTGAACGTCCTACTTCTACGATTGATATTACAGTGCGGAAGCTGCTAAGTGGAAGGGCCGCTTTCCTTGTAGTATTATTTTTTTGTATCAAATGGTTCCACTTTTGAAAGACCTCCCTTTTATAAAAAATAAAGAATAGAGGTCTTTCATAATTTGCGGGAGACCCCATTCCACCCCCAAAAATTCCACGTGTCAAACACGCCCTAAGTGAATAGAGATAGAAAGAGAGAATGTGTGTTGGGACCAAAAGCCCCACAACATTAAATCGAGAGAGTATTGGTTGTTTAGCACTAAATCAGTACGCCTAATTTTTTCCACTTAACAAAGTGCATGAGGGAACCTATGTTTAGGAAATCGCCTAGGCCAATGTACTCGCTAGGGGTTGCAGAGGACCTCGACCCGAAAAAATATATGGGACCCAGACCTGATCGGATCCAATTGGATCCGACTCAAAAATTAAAATAACTATGTATTTAACTATATTTAAATGTATTTCATATATTGGGACCCGAAAATAGTACCGGGCCCGAAACCGAACCCGAACAGTATTCTAGCCTAAGATTTGGACTTGGGCCCAACCCGTTGGGTACAATTTTTAGACCCATACCCGGGTCTACCCTCCGGGTCTAGGTCCATTGCCAGCCCTAATACTCACCTTTCGTCAAGTTGAGTAACTCGACTGAGTACCCGTGGTCTAAGCTGAGTCATGCACACAAGAAAAATAAAAAAAGTTAAAATACATAAAGAAATAAAAATAAAACTAAGAAGAGCTGGAAAAGGTCATAGAGTCCATTCAAATATGAATTTTTTTTCGGATTTCAAGTGTCGTCAATG